AAGTTTTGAGTTTTCCAACAAGAGTTCAAAAGGAGCCAGATAATCACGATGCCGTAGTTTTCCCGGTACAAGAGAATATCTCAAACCCCAAAATAAAACATTTTTATCTATTTCCCTCAGTGTATAGCTAGATAAGTTATGAATAACTTTATTCGGGGAATCAAAACTTTTTTTTTTTTTTGCCTTTTCGAAGCGTTTTAAGTTAAAGATTGCAATTTCTTCAGATGGTTAAAACGGTATTTAAGCCATTATTGTGAAAGCACTCATCGAAGCACTTCAAATGGATGAAATCCAATGGGTTACCGATACTTTTCATCTTGTGTTTGGAACCTAGGAAATCTTAAAGTAAATATTTTTCGACTTTAGATCTAATTTCAGATTCCTAATATTTTCGTTGAGTTTGTCTATATTGTTTGTCTTTCTCGACAGTGACATTAGCAGTATTAAGATTTTAAAAACAATAAATGCGATGTTTACATGCGAGACTCCATGGAGCTACGCAGAAATGAAAGTTGTAATTATTTTCATTTTCCTTGTGAACTGCATTAAACAAATGTTAAGTAATGATAAAATGTGAATATTAAAATATTGTTGAATTTGAAATTCGATATGCAGGTGCGCATTCAACACCTGAGAGATGCTCTCTCCATAAGCCGGTTATTTGTAAATCAGAGAAATGTCTTCTTATCCTATGTTTAAAATAATAACAAAGTTACTCAAAATTCTATGAATAGGAAAACGTTTAACTCAGGGAAGAAACTTGTGAAATACAGCATGATCAACGAAAAGTCACTTAAAACCCAAATTATTTGAAAATACCGTAAACAGGAGTTACTTCAGAGGTTTTGTGTGTGTGTGTGTGTTTGTTTGTTTAAGTTTTCGAAATAATTCAAAAGATACTGTATGAATCAGGATAAAATTACTTCAACTTTTTAGTATATGTGTGATATGCATGCACATTATATGTTTTCTAAGTGCTTTACTGACATAGAACGTTAAGATTACCTTCGCTTATTTTCTTCTCTATAGTATATAGAGGATATTGCAGTAATACATAGCATCCGGGTTAAAAGGAATGGCACTGTAATGTTCTTTACTGGTCGAGTATGACATCGACAAAATGTAACAGCCGACCAATACTGTGAGAGAGCAAATGGCACGAGGTGATACTGTTGACTGGACAAAGAAAGCGATTTTACTTGTTGAATTCAAGTGCGCTTTCTTGGTTCAGTTGTACTTGATTTTCATCGTGACTAGTCTGACAAGAGATTCAACTAAAGGGACGAAAAGCTGACGAACTGTTTACTAATCCAAAAAAAGTGATCGTTCACTTGCCTACATAGGTATGCACATTTTTTTTTGTTATTTTTTGCCTAAATAAAGATTGTTTTCACTGTCCTTCAAACTTGTCCACTCTGTTTACTTCTCTCGCAACTTAAAACTCAGTCAAGTTATCAACTGCAGAGACTTCCTTTATTTGGCCCAGCATGGCCAGGTGGTTAGGGCGCTCGACTCACACTCTGACGATCGCGGGTTCGAATCCCCGTCCCACCAAACATGCTCGCCTTTTCAGCCGTTGGTAAAAGAGTAGCCCAAGAGTTGGCGGTGGGTGGTGATAACTAGCTGCTTTCCCTCTAGTCTTACACTGCTAAATTAGGGACGGCTAGTGCAGATAGTGTAGCTTTGCGCGAAATTCAAAACACAAACAAACTTCCTTTATTTATTAATCGAAACTGCAATTATTTGGTGGTTTGCATATCTGATACTTGTAAGGAAATTGGTTTTGCCTGAAAATATCACATATCAAATCAGCTTTACATGAGTGGTAACCAACTGGTCACGCCGAATAGGTTAATTAATATTTTTATTATTATTACTGTCTCCAGTTGCCCCAGTTATGGGGGAACTTTGGACAGCAGTGCCTTAAGGATAGCTGAATTAATTTGTATAATCTGAAGGTAACTTGAGACTCTACTTTTATTTTTAAAAAAATTGTTTACTATAAACTATTTGCTTCCCCCCCCCGAAAAAAATCTGAGTAATGTATAAACTATTTGCATTATTACACAAATGCGTAGGAAGAAACAATTACTTGGAGGGAGGGGGGAAGCTATAAGGCAGTCTAGGCGAAATTAAAACTCTCCGAAGCTCCTGCATTTTGGACAATCTTGAAGCTTGTCTGATGTACTTCCCTGCGCCTCTAGTTATATTTGAAAAAAGCAGGAGCAGTAGCCTTTAAATTATTAAAAAGTTTTTAATATTGCTCTCTTTCCACGGGTTCCAATGCATATATATGCTACACGCTACAATGTTTACTTTGACCTATAACAAATCAGTCTCCAGTAATATTTTATAACACGTTGTCAACTGGAGGCTGCCATGTAGGCTCATGTTATCCAGGTAACTTTCACTTTTCGTATAACAGACCACTATACAAATAATCCTAATAATTAATGAAAAAAAAACTGTGACAACTATTTAGAAGCATTGCAGGGCACGTGCGGAAAAGTTTGCATGGTTTTACAACCTTACCTTTTAAATCTCCAAATGATATGTTCCTGGTGTAATTGTTTTGCAATTACTCCTTCGCACGGTTCAGCTTGTCATAATTCAAAAAATGTTTGATCTATTGGTATCATTATCCATTGAACTGTTCAATACAAAGTTGAATATTAGTTATGGCGAAACAGTCTGTAGTAAAAATAAGTAAGAAACAAAATCAGTTCATACTGATTTCGGGGAATTCTACCCCTCATCAGTAACCCTAGACATGGACAAATTGAAAAAAAAAAAAACAAGACCAGGCTTTTTTAGTATATAAAGTATTTTGTAAGTATGATTTTTTTGTCTTTTACTATCCAGATCATCAGAGTGAACCAGTATTTATATATCATTTAAAATATATAACATTGATGCTATAATTTAATATTCTAAATTATTCATCAGGCAAGTTTTTTTAAGATACTGTTGCGTCAGCGAGATCACGTGACTA